AGTAGCAGCTGTTCAGAAAGCACTTCCTGGCCGACAGCTGGTGGCTGAGGCTCTCGGTCACTTCATTCAGGCCACAGTCCTGCTCTGCCGGTCACGCGTTCTTTCCTGGGTTTTGCCCGGCTTTCTGGTTGTTGGTGGCCAGAGGGCAAGTCCAGGGCCAGGAATCAGTTGTGACTAGAAACGGAGTCTCCGGGTTTTGTGGATTTTGTTATAAAGACCTGAAAAGATAACTCCCAAAGACAAGTAGGTCCAACCCAAAGAAGTTCATTATTGGCTTTGGTTTCAACTTGATTCATATTTTCAAAACTTGTGTACAGTTAGGAAAAGTTACTTGTCGAAACTCTTACATTTTCATTTTACTTTTTATTGCTAAGCTGCTGCGGTTTTATATTAGCGATAAATGGTTTGAAGCCTCTTTGGCAAATGTCTAGTCAGGTTTGAGTTGGAAGACAGCAGGTAGCACTTACTGAGTGCTGAGCGCTTCCTGTGCCGGGCAGCTGTCCCTGTGAGTCCCCACCACAGCCTCACCTTCTCGGCAAGTTATTAGGCCACCCTGAAGTGAGTGGCTTGTCCGGGCACACACAGGACGTCCAGCCCACACTGAACCACTGTGCTGCCCTCTCCCAGGTGCAGCATGGGGAATGGGACAGTTAATAGAGGATGACATCGCCTTTTCACATAGGGGGACACGATGATGGGAGCGTTTCCAAAATCTGCTCTTGAACTGTCGTCACTATAGCTTGAGTTTCCTCCAAGAAGCGACTTTTTCCCATTGAGGATTAAAGCATCGTTTTTACTTTGGAGACATTGTGTTGGTTTTTCATCATTGTCAGGCAGCATATCACTGATGTGAAAGCCATTTGCCATCTGAGAACAGGGTAGCTAATTTGGAACACGTGGCTTTTGTTAAAGAAAATTATGGCGCTCATCTTTAAACTTAAAACTCCTAACTACTTTGCCAGTGGAAAGCCAACCAGCCCTTCTGTGGTCTAGAGTCCCACGCTGTCTCCTTGTGCCCGGCGCCTTACCCTGCGAGCCACCCATCTCCTGCCGTGACTTCCCTGCTGGGTCTCTGGGTTCCTCAGACATTGCGTTTTTTGGCCCCAGGGTTCATTCTGGTTCATTCTAGCACTGCTTCACATCTTCTAGTTCTCTTCTCATTGTGATCATGTTTTTCTTTACATCCTTGTCCACAGGCCTCCTCCCTCTGACCACTTTTCCTGTATCACTCCCTCCACAGCAGCCACCCTGGCTCCCTCTGTGCCTTGAATGTGCCACACTCACACTAACCACAGGGCCTTTGCACTGGCCGCTGTCTCTGCTTAGTGTGAATCTTCTTCAACAAGCTCCTCCTCAGCACCAGCTCTCCTTCCCAGCTCATCTCCTTGGAGCCTGGAGCCTTCCAGCCCGCCTTCCAGAACCCCACCCCTCCCCAGTGACACACATCCAGCTCCACTTCCTTCCTGCACACCTGGTAGTAGTACATGGAGGTCTTTTGTCTTGTTGGTTTTGCTTCCTGTCTGTCTCTCTCACTTCACTAGAATGTCAAGCTTCCCCGCCCAGAATCTCACATGAGCTAGGTACATGCTCTACCACTGAGATGCATCCCCAGCCCCCAGGACAGAGCTGCTCACCACCATGTCCCCTTGGTGGCCAGGACAGTGCTGACATCATAGAATGCACATCAGCCATCGGCCATTAAGCCTGGCACTTCACACTCCCTGCTCCTCTGCCTGCTGCATCTGAGCCCGCAGCCCCCGTGGGCCCAAGTTCTGTGTGCCTACGAGGGGAGGGGGTGCCTAGGTGTCACCTCTTCCTAGAAGGAACCCTTTTGGGGCTGCTGCTGGGTTCCCCTGCCTTCAGTGGGGTGCTCTTGCCTTGTCTTTGTTATTTCTGCACCTGATCTACCTGCTGCGGGCTGGTTCCTGCTGACTTGGCCAAGCGTCTATCCCAGAGCCTAACTCAGGCCTTGCCCAGAGCAGAGTCGCTTCGGAAATGCTTGTTAAATTAGTACTTGGAGAGGCAGTGTGATTGAGCTGGCTGCTGGCTCGGGAAGCAGAATTCCTAATTAGAGCTTTGCGTACCTGTTTGCCTGGCTGGCTTCGTTCCTCCCCTGTCCCTGGGGGAGATGCCAGCACCTGACATTGCAGGGCCCTCCCCAGCTTCTGCCCGAGATGGCAGAATCAATGAAATCATGGTATGTGTCCTTAGCAAAGGCGCTGAATGAATACAGGTGACGGCATTGGTGGTGGTTATGATTATGTTGAGACCTGTGCTGCACAGGGGGCCTCAGAGCATTTCAGGAACTGATCGTCAGGTGACTGTAAAACACTTTGCAAGTTAGTCACATCAGGCGGATGGAACTGGTGGCAAACTGCGTGGAGTTGGAGGAGGCTGGGGGACAGGGCCTCGGGGGTCTGCACAGTCCTCTTTACGATGGATGTGTTCTCACCTGCTCCAGATGTTTCCTAACCATGCTATTGAGATCGGAGGCTTGTGACATGCAGAAGAAGACCTAACGATACATTTAGGGGGTTAAATGGCATTGGAAATCATTAACGAGACAAAAAGCTATGATTTCCCCAGATGAACATGCAGGTTGGGGTTTGGCTGAAATTCATTGTTTTGGTCTCCAGCCCAAACATGCTAGAGTCATTATATTGTCATGTGGTAAATTAGCTGTTCTTTAATACAAGTAATAAAAATTAAGCCTAAGAGCTACTTTAGCAACGCCTTTTACATATCCCAAAACAGTATTCAAATGCCATCAGCAGTTAGTCTTCAACTGCAGTGAAGTTTGGAGCTGAACATTCAGTTTGTTCCCTGTTCAGTGACTGGCGTTGCTACTCAGGCATTGACCTCTAATAGGTTAAGTCAAATGTAGATGCCACAGTGAGTAATTAGGAGATTAGCAGAATTTTCATTTACAGTACAACACTCTGAAAATTTGTCTCAAGGTCTAGTTGCCATTCACTTGATAACACGTGACTTATTTTCATATGTCCCCGATTCCTGGCTAAATTGCACAGAAGCTATTTTTTCCCTTTGGAGCCAACACAGTGGGTCCTGTCTACTTGAAAAGAACCGGCTGGAAATGTTGACAGGAACCTTGGGGAAGGGCCTGCAGTGTGAGGGCTTAATTTTTTTAAATACTATTGGTCCTAGCTGTCATGGGGGAAAGCCCATCTGAGGGGCCTGAGCCACCTTCCCAGGCTGGCTCTGCTGTCCTTCCCTGACTGGGGACCAGTGCACACCCTAGGTCCTCGGAAGAGGCCGAGTCCTTCCAGTCATTTGCCCAGCTCCAGGCCATGGAGGTAAGGGAGGTGTGCAAGATTGACCAGAGAGGAGCTGAAATTTTAAAAAACAAAGAAAAACATCCCACCTTTCAGGTTCCGAGAATGCCATTTGTCTTGTTATTACTACTCCTGCCTAGTAGAACCATCTCCCCAAAATAGCTTTTGAGTTCTAATTGAACATTAATATTTTAATGCTGATTAAAATAATCATGAAAAGTCATAAATGAGAAAGCCTTAGACATGCACACGCGCAGGAAGAGTGCCCAGCGAGCGGGCAGGGCTGTGCATGACGGGCAGCACCGGGGGGAGCCCGCACGCGGCTCTGCTGGCCGGGCCTGCTGCTGTAAGCTCCGTAGGGACAGCAGGACCTCCGAGAGCTGCTGGCCCTGCTGGACGCGCTCACTGAGGCAGGAGACCCAGCCCTGGTTTCCAGGAACCAAGGGTGGTCTAAAAAATTAATGACTCTGGCATTTGAAAATTAAGCGAGGCCTTGAATATACACCCTTGTTGATCCGCCGAGCCGCGTGTTTAGCATTCCTCCACGGGAGACTAAATCTCCGCAGCCAGCTCACAAGTGACACTGGCGCCCAAGCCAGAAATAAGTTCAATAATCTTTCCAGGCCCTGTGGATTTGGGTATTCTTCTCTGATGGAGCCCGAGAATCCTAAAGGAAGTGCCTCGCTGGTGCCCAGCAGGTGGATAATAATTGCTCTGTAGGCTGCAGAAGGAACCATGATTCTCAAACTGACAGAACCACATCACGTCTGTCCGTCTCGGGCTGTATCAGTGGTAAAGCTGAAGGCCACGAGTCAGCCCTGTAAATTGCACGTCTGCAATCTCCAATTTTGGATTAAAGTCCAGTGTTAAGGGAATTCATAGTGGATAGCATGTTCAGTTGGCCACAAGACCTTGCAGGCCTGGCCTGGATGCTGGTCTGCTCTGTCATGAGCTTGGTAGCCTCCCGGCTTCTGGACACTAGCCTGTAACAGGGTGGTGCTGGGTCACCTTCTGTGCTTCTGTAAGATCTCCGTCTTGGGATCAGCAGCTGTTCCCCCTGGCTCTTCCTGGCATCCTTCATTAGCAAAGCAGGACAGCCGGGAAGAGGGATCCTGTGCTGAAATAGGGTGGCCTCCCACACAGCCTGGGGTTTCTCTCGTCTCTCGGTCACCTGGCCTGTGCCCTGTGCCCACCAGCTAGCCAGGCAACTCTGGGCCCATCCTTCTGCATCCTGGACCTTTAGATTTTGTTTCTGTCCTACGTCTCTTTCCCAATGTGGGGAGGCTCAGATGAGAAAGTGTCCATTACATTGTTCTGCAATCCACGTGCCACTCTTGGAGTACTAGGTGTGACTTCCATCTCCACGACAGTCCTCCAGGTTCAGCCATGTGTGGTGGGTTTTCCTGGGACTCCTTCCTTCGCTGCCCGCATTTCCCTTCATGTCAGATCAGAGTGAAGTTATTCCAGTTCACACAGGCCAGAGGGTTGGCAGACACCAGTGAGTCCCACAGCTGTGCCCACCTGTCTTCACACCTTGACAGTCCTGGGGTGTCTCTTCCCAAGCACGGAGAAGCCCCCCACCCTATCCCAGGCTGGAAGAGAAATGTCCCCAGGGGAGCCTGCAGTGGGATCCTGCTGGGCGCCCTGGAGGCCTGCTCCAAGCCTCTGCTCAGAGACCAGGCTCACGTGTGCTGTCCTCCTGTGCAGATCCCGTGCCAGCTCTGGACCTCGGGCAACAGCTGCAGCTCAAAGTGCAACGCCTGCACGACATTGAAACAGAGAACCAGAAACTTAGGGAGACTCTCGAAGAATACAACAAGGAATTCGCCGAAGTGAAAAACCAAGGTTGGTGGGAGATGGGTTCATTGCTTGGCCTCTTTCTGTTTTCTCTGTTGCCTCCCTTGCTGTTAAGACGCCTGTGATTGTTATCCACCTCAGGAAGCCAGGGTGGGGCTAGAGCAGAATCGTTAAAGAGGGATAATGATGTTGCTTAGCTATTTAGAAGCTAAACTTCTCTCTGCCCAATAACTATGTATGATTTTATTGCCCTCAGCCTGGGCTGATCAGAATTCTTTGAAAATTCCTCTTGTACATCATGTGATAGAATCTGCCTTTTAAAAGACTGATGTGTTGCCTCCGGGCGCCACCTGTCAGAGAGCCAGCTCATGATCAAAGGGTCACACACAGCAAGTCATTTAGTAATTGCCGCCGATCCATTACGGCTCCAGACGAGACGCATCCGCATAGGCTGCCGCTTACGCACGGCCTTCCTTGTGGGCCTCACCTATTCATTACGAATCTAATGAAAGAAAACAGCTCCTTGGTGTGGTTGCCCAGCGTCAGCACGTCAGAGGGGGCAGAGGTGGCCTGGCTTTTCCTGTCAAGGAGGAACAAAGAAATCTTCCCTGTGCCTAAAACCCAGATGTGTGCAGAGTCCCGGAGCCTCCTGGCTTCCGTGTCCCCTCTGGCAGCAGTTGCAAGTTTTCCACCACCTCCAAGTCACAGCTCAGCCTGTTTCTGCCTGGGGACGGGGTGAGGAGTCGGGTAGGAGAGGCAGCCCCCAATATCCCCTCTCAGCCTCCTGCTTGATAGGGTTGGGGCTGATGAAGGGCTAAGTGGTGAGCGCTGGGGACAGCCCTGGGGGAGCTACCCTCAGGAGAGACTGGGATGGTGTGGGAAGTGCCCACGGACAGACAGGCGTGGGTCGTGAGGGCAGCGGCTACCATCCGGGTCTCTGCGTGTCCCACGGGCCTTGGTGTGTTCAGGCCCTCGGGCCAGCAGGGCCTCCTTGCTGGGGCCAAGGAACGGCTGGGGTGGTTGGGGGAACCAGGCCAGCTCAGACCACACCCCAGACCCCACCCCAGTCTGGCTCAGGTGGGCCTTGGGGACACAAAGGGACAGCTCTGTCCAGCTTGAAAGCAAGCATTGGGCTTATTAAGCTGGGATCCTTCTGAGAGAAGGTGCTCCCTTGGCCGAGTAGGAGTCATTTCTTGTCAGAATTACCCTGGTTGGTCCCAACGTGCAGGATAACCTGGTCCTTCTGGTCTGCCAGGAGGTGATGTCCCACGGCAAGGGCAGCCTTTTTATTTGTTCCCTCAGTGGCCTCTGGCGTCTAATTCCGACAGACCACTCTGGATTCTCGTGGAGCCTCTCTTGTGTGCTGATGGGTGGCACCATAGGCGCCCAGGCCCCGTGGTTTGCGCTGCGCCTTGCCCTGTGTGACGGTCATCCACTGCCAGGCGTCGCAGGGTAGCCGGCCACCAGCCCCAAGAGCATGGAGTGCTTTCTCCCCGCAACCCCTTTGAGGGCTTCATAAAATGAAATACAACATCCAAGCCCCAAGAATGGATGGTTCAGAGGCAGAGACCTGGTCGGGTCCCTTGATTGTCACTGCCTAACCCTGTGGCCCTGGGAGGTGACCCTGCCTCGTCAGGAGCTGTCTTCTCAGGGGCAGCTCTCATCCTCCCCACTTAGGGTGTTGGAGGAGTACCTGAGGGCGGCTGGATCCTCAGCCAGCATCAGCTTCTTCTAGAACTTGCTTTGCCAGAAGTTCCCCCTTCTTCATTATTGATAAGGGATTTCCCTAATCTGGGGAAGGGCAGGGGGTCACTTCCTTCTTCTCTTCCCAGCCTGACTGATCATAATCTGGAAGGGCGGGGGTGCACCTGACTTGTTCCCCATCAGAGCTTTTGAATGCTGGTCAAGTCAGAGCAGAACCGGGTGCATGGCACACGTCTGCTGTCCCGGTGCAGGAGGGTCACGAGTCCAAGGCCAGCCTGGACAACTTAGTGAGGCCCTGTCTCAAAATAAAGTAAAAAAGGCTGGGATGTGGCTCAGTGGTAGAGCCCTTGCCTGTCACACACAAGATTTGGGGCGTGAGCACAGCCAAAGAAGGTCCTTCTACCAGCGCCCTCTACCCCCTGCTAGGGAGCCTCGGGAGACGCCAGGGAACGCCCTGGACCTGGGTTGAGGCAGCAGCGGAGGGCCAGAGGTGACAGGATGAGATGCTCCTGGCCTGGGCTCTGCTGGTGGGTGAGCAGCCCCAGCAGCTCCGTGAGACGGCAGACTCCTCGGAAGGAGAACAGTTGTGTCACCAGGGCTGGCGGCAACAGGCACCAACCCTCACACCAGTGCTGCCTCCCGGGTGCTCAGCCCACGCATTCCCACGGATGCCTGTGGGTGCAGGTGGGACCACGTCAGCCAGCTGTGGAAAGCCACCCCCTCGTGACTAAAGCTGAGGGCCCTCTGTGAAGAGAGGAAATTGGCCCTTCTCATCATGTCGACCCCCGCAGGCCTTCCTTAGAGGAAGAAAGGAAAGCCAATGGCTCCATCAGACATTTGAGGGAGAAACAGGGCACCCCCTTGGTAGGTCGTTTGGGGCCTGGAAGAATAGCTGTGTGAGGACAATGCTGTGACACATCATTCTCGAGCCATACTGCCAGGCCAAGGTCAGGCGAGAACGGGTCGTTTCCAGAGCGGACACCAGACAGGTCCACTCTGAAAATGCCTGCTGTGTCCTTTCAAGCCCACGGTCTGTGTGGCCATATGGACACATGGCACTTCTGCCCGTAGTGCTGGGCTGGAAACACCTGTGCAGCACCCGGGCTGAGCACCCGACTCTGCCGGGTGCTGGGCGCACACACTCCGTCCTACCGAGATGGATCTGGAAAAGCAGGCAACGGTCCCCAAGAGCCCTACTCTCTTGGGACTGCAACCACAGTGCTGGCAGAGCGAGGTGGGAAGGGACATCTGTAGAAGGACACCCGTAGGTCTGAGTTAGGACCCTACTCTACTTGTCACACTTGCTTTAGTTTCCGGTTTGGGTAGTTAAAGGGACTATCAAGAGCTGTCTGGGCTCAGCTTCCCCAGGTGGCCCTGCCGCCTAAGGGACCATCTGCCCTGGAGTTCTGGCTCCTTCAGGCCCCCATGTGGCTGCCCAAGGCCCTGGCTCTCCTGCTCTGCTCTAGGGTACTTCCAGGCCACCGCAGCAGCCTGAGTGTCTTCCCCAGGCCCTGCGTCATCTGCTGTGCACACACAGCCATGTCCACTTGGGTGGCGGGTGCCCCAGCACCCAACCCCAGGGCAGGTCCCCCAGCTGAGGAGACCGCACGGTACCTCTGGCCGCCTGGAGCTCCCCGCTGACTGGCCTCCTTTCCACAGAGCCACCACGATGAACTGCTTTCTTTGTAAGAAAGTCCTTAAACTCACACTAAAACTTTATTAATCTTCCCTCCGTGGAGAACTAATTTAAGACTCGTCAATAGGGCGATATCATATTTTACCATTGATTTCCCCTCTTTTCTTAAAATGCGCTAGAGAAACCAGAGCGCTCCTTCCCAGCAAAATCCATTGATCCTGCTCATCCTGAACACTGCGAGTTCAGCCCACGTTAGGGAGTGAAAGGTCTCCGAAGGGACTCTGGGCATTGATTTTGTGTCGGGAGACGAGCTGAAGTCTGGAGCGCACCCTTCCTGCTGGTTCTCACCGCGGAGCCCGCTTCTCTTGTTGGAGTTTCTCTCTTTTCCTTTCTATCTGCAGAGGTTACGATAAAAGCACTTAAAGAGAAAATCCGAGAATACGAGCAGACGCTGAAGAGCCAGGCCGAGGCGATCGCGCTCGAGAAGGAACACAAGCTGCAGAATGATTTTGCTGAGAAGGAGAGGTGAGCGTGGACCCAGCTCGCACGGCAGCCACCTTTACCCTTGACTGTGACATGAGACAGTTTAAAAAATGCACCTGTGACATCAGCCCAGGGGATAAACAGGATCCCAATGGCTCAAAATTTTGCTTAAAAAAGAAAGCAGTCGGGTCCTGACTTTGTGGGGTGACCTTGAGTGCAATGAATCTGGCTACCCCTAGTGGTGGGTGGCACCAGGAGATGGGGCCAGAGAATGAGCGTGAGGCATGTGTAGCTGACAAGGTGGCACCTGGTGGCCGTACCTGAGCTAGGTCCTCGCCATGACTGTCCTCCGTGGGGAAGGCCCTGGGCACACGTGAACTCCTCCTTCCCTCCTCAAAGAGGTGGGCACTTCACACCCTCCCCCTCCATGTCTCTCTCTCTGTCTCTCTCTCTCTCTCTCTCTCTCTCTCACACACACACACACACACACACACACACACACACACCCCACACACACTGCCCTGGGCTTGTGGTTGTGGGCGTACAGTTTGGCCTGTTTCATGACCTCGGTGCTTCGTAAATCAAGGACTTAACATGGGCAGAGCTTTCCTGATCCAAAAATCTGAAATGTTCCAAAATTCAGAACTCTTTAAGAACTGAAGAAGTGCGGGACTGGGGGGCCAGGGTGTAGCGCAGAGGCAGGACACATGTTTACCCTGTATAAGGTCCTGGGGTTTGTTCCAGCTCAGAGTTTTGAATTAGGAGTGTGCATCCAGTAAAGTCTCTGCACATATCCCCAAATCCCCAAAGCTCCAAAGTCTGAATCAGTCGTGGGCCCAGGCATTTACCCTGTTGGTAAAATACGTGGCCATATCCTCTAGCCGTGTGATTTCTAGATTTCCAGTGGCTCTCCATGCCCAGGTTTCTTGTTGTGATGACTTAATGAAAGATAGAGCGTTTCTAAAGCTGTAAGCACTGTTAAGCTGGTGGTTCCCCCTGTGTAAGTCAGGTTTTTAAGAATTTTGGGGTTAAGTTATTGAATTTTAGCCCCAGCATAAAGAAATATATATATCCATTAAATGGAGGTTCTAAGCTTACAGTTGCAAGTTGGAGTCAGGCTGGGTCCCTGATGGCAGGCGGTCTTGTTGGGTTCCTGCTGGTTTTGTGCACCACCGCACACACCCTACAGGACAGGCTCCATAAGATTGTAGATATCTGGGCTGGGTATGTAGCTCAGAAATAAAGCGTATGCTCAGAGTGCATAGTGCTCCAGGTTTAGTACCCAGTGCCACTCGGCACAAGGACGGTGGCGCACACCTGTGATCCCAGCAACTCTGGAGGCTGAGGTAGAAGGATTGCCAGTTCAATCCTGACCTTGGCAACTTAGCAAGACCCTGTCTCAAAGTAAAATACAAAATAAAAAGGGCTGGGATGTGGCCCAGTGGTAGAGCACCACTGGCACCCAGAAAAGGAAAGGAAAGGAGGGACAAACTCTCTATCTCACAGGAGCCACCACAAAGGACTGTTAAACTGAGGTCACTTCAAAAAGAAGAAAAATGCCAGTGTCCACTAGTCCCATGCCCACTCTGCCTCACAACTTTGCCAGCTGTTTGCAGTACATGTTTTCACAGAGTGACCAAGATGGGGCTGCGCCACACGCCACCTTGTGTTCTTTTTTTTCAGTTGTACATAGATACAACACTTATTTTATTTATTTATCTTTATGTGGTGCTGAGGATCGAACCCGGGGCCTCACACAGGCTAGGCAGGCGCTCCACCACTGAGCCCCAGCCCCAGCAATCTCATTTTGCAGAGAGAAACGAATCACAGGTTGGCCATGCTTGAAGTGTCGACCCTGCTAACCAGGGTCGGAGGCAAAACAGAGACTCCAGAGGCGCCCACCCTCTGCCGTGGCCTGGCCTCCCTGTCTGCACAGACACAGCCTCTTGCAGTCCTCGAGGACAGACCTAGGCCAATCCTTGGGGGCCACCCAGCCTTGAAGGCAGCACGTAGCCCCTCAAAAAAAAGTAACAACAGGGCTCTTGACAGCTGGTGTGGCTCTGCTCCTAGGTAAATTCCCCTCAAGAACACACTTGGTGCCCGGAGAGATTTCCCCCATGCCTGCCTATGGGAACAGAGGAGCCAAAGGCAGGCCAGGGCTACCCAGAATGTTCGATGGCCATAAAAATCATGGTTCATAGAGTTGGGAATAACTTAAGAGAAGTGCCCAACGTGGCATCAAGTGGGAGACTCACAGGGTGTGCGCAGCTCCCACAACCCTACTGCACGTCTGCCCACGGCCAGCCGTGCCCACCCAAGCCAGGAACTGGCTCACCCCAACCTCAGCACCACTGAGCTGGCTTCTCAAGTTGGGTAAAAGGATTCATTATATTGAAAGATGAGAATGACTGACTGTTGAGCCATCAGACTAGATGTTTATTTCCTCATTCTTTATGCCAAAAATATCAAATTGAACCCAGGATTTAAATATCAATAATGAAATCACATACATCCTGGAAGAAAACTTGGATGCATATTCTGTTTTGAATAATTTTGAAATTCAGAAATATTTCTCAGAATACAAAAAAAGTTATAGAAATGTGACTAAAATTTAAAACACATTTTTAAAAAACAAATGACAATTAAGTTTTAGACATCAACAAACTGGGAACAAATATGTGCATCGAATAAGACAAGGGATAATTTTCTATATAAGTAAAGAGTTCTTACAAATTAATAAGAAAAAAACCAACCCTAACAAAAGCGGGCAGAGAAAGTAAGCAGGCACTTCATACAGTGAAAAATGTTCAACACTACTCAGCAGTAAAATGTTAAGCTTGATTTTACCCAGTGCCACCTGGGCACATGAAACCCTCTCACATATTGTTGGTAGGAGTTTAAACTGATGAGGTATTTTTGTTTCTGTTTTGTTTTGTGGGAAAGTCTTTCAATATCTATCAAAACAAAAAACCAAATTGCAGTCTTTGACCATTATAATTCCTCTGTCAGAATTTTATCCAGCAAATTCACTCTTGAAATTATGCAACAGTATCTACTTAAAGATGCTCAAGGAAACGTTTTAACAGAAAGAAACACTGAAGGGTCCGAGTTTCCATAGGGGAGTGAAGAATGGCCATGGATGCAGAGCAGAGGTTTCCAGAACATGGGAGCAAGCGGAGCAGTAAGCTGCACAGGACGGTCTTGTGGTCCCTTGTGTACTAGAACCTGAGGGCTGAGGCAGGAGGGTCACAGCAACCTAGTGAGACCCTGTCTCAAAAACTTGAAAAGGCTAGGGATGTGGCTCAGGGTGGAGCACCCCGGGCTCAGTTCCCCCAGCCCCAGAAAGGATGGAGGAGTAGGAAGTCCATAGTTCATGTAGCATGTCACATGTCATTGGCATGATTGCACTGTAGCACGTTTCCTGTGCTCTGTCACCCTGTGGTGGCTTAGGGGTTAGTTTTCGTTCTGCTGTATTGTGTAACATGACTTTCTGTTCTGGGAGTTCATTGTATTATGTTACATATTCGTTTATATTTCATTGTAGTATATAAAATATTAGTTGATATTTTCTTATACTGTCTTGCATGTTGGCTTATATTATACTCTATAGTGTGTTACTTATTACACTGAATTTCTATACATGAAGAAATATTTTAGAAAAATACAAACTATCCAAGGAGTAGAAATGGAGCCAAAGAAGAGAGGACATTTCCACACTCATGTAAAATTTGATGTTTTAAAAAACTCTGAGCCTATCTTAGATTTATAATTGAAATTCATGGAGATACTAGCAATGCTTTCCTACAAGTGACGGAAATTTGAGTGATTTTTTTTTTTTTAGCTGTATCATTTCTCCTTTTCTGTATTCCCAGGTTTATTATGTTGAGAACATATGTTATATTCATATGATGTAAAAATAATAAGCTTATTTTTAGAGCTTTGGGCAGATTAGGAGGAAGGAATGCCGGCGCTGACCAGGGAATCCGTGTGGAGATCATGGGAAACATCACTATGTGGGATGCAGCTTGAGACGTTCACAATCTTCCCATTTGGCACCACAGTCGCATTTGCATTCCATTATAACCGAGATGGGACAGCTGTCACATCTCTTTAGTACATCCTTTATCCCAACAAATTCCTTCTTTGTGTCAGCAGAATGTAAATGTATCACTCTTCCTGGGCTAACTTCAGGAAACAATGAGTGCATGATGATGGCATTTCTTCCTTTTTAATATCTGGCATCTCAAGAACAAGTTGCATTTAGGATAACCTTCCACACCAATTACCGCACATCAAGTCCCCGGTGCGCCCTTCACCTTACGTAATGTGCGATTGCAAAGCGAGGGCTGGGAGGGTGGCGAGGGGGCCCCACAGCACCCAGGGCATTGAGAGTGACAGCTGATGGGGCGCCTGCCACCAGCTGTGCCTCCAAAGGAGCAAGCTGATGGGGGCAGCTCCAGGACACACCAAGCGTCCAGTTGGTGAGCAAGGTGACCAATCTGGCTCCGCTCTCTTGCTTTTCAGACAGCTGCAAGAGACTCAGATGTCAACCACCTCGAAGCTGGAGGAAGCGGAACACAAACTTCAGACTCTGCAAACAGGTTCGCTCCCCTCCTCCCCGGTCAGTGGGTGCAGGGCAGGCTGAAGACACTAGACGCCTCCCGGCCCCCACCTGTCGCCCCTGTGGAGCCTTCAGGGCCTCGGAGCCCGTGCACGGCGACTCCAGCCCGGGCTGCCTTCCCCTGACTCCATTAGTCACGCGTTGAGCTGTCAGCGTGGAGTGGGAGGATCTGCCGTTTCCATCTCTTCCACCACCATCCTTTCTTCCTGCTCTTTTTTCCAACAAACACATCTAAATCACCAAACTGTCAAGGACTGACATTTCATTTAGAACAATAATAGGGGGAAAAAAAACCTTATTTCTACCCTAAGTTAAGGAGAACAGTAATAGCAGAACCTTTAAAATTTAACAGATACCAAAAAAGGTTATGCTAAAGTTGGCAGTTTCTTTAAACTTCTTTCTTTCTTCCCTTTTCGTGTCTTTTTTGAAAGGGAAGCAGCAATGTATCTTCAATTTACATGTGGGAAGGAACAGTGGAAGCCATCGTAATCCAGGGTAAAACACAAATGACAGGGAGAAAATAATCACAAGCAATTTAACAGACACAGACAACATCAAGCAGGCCTGGGGACCACGTCAGCAGTGGAGCACTGGCCTTGTGTGCACCGGGCTGCGTCCCCTCCCCTGCACCACAGATTTGAAAAAGGATACATTTGTCTAAAGACCACCTACAAATCCTGGAAAACAGAGAAACAGTCCAGCTGAATAATGAGTAGGGATAGGAACACACAATTCACAGAAACCATGTAAACGGTTCACACACATGAGAAAAACTGCTAACTGTGTGGCCGTCAGGGAGAGACCATCAGTGAAACCCCGGGAAGGTGGTCTGCCTGTCTGACTGTGGGCAGCTTTTTTCTTAATTGGTAAAACCCAGTATTGGTGAGGGCTTAGGAGAAAGGTCACACTCAAGTAGGGATGGGAGCTGCCTATTGGGAGGCCAGCAGGGTCGGGTGGTGGAAGGTTCAGCGCTGAGCTCTCCTCTAGTAGCTGTGCCTCTCGGGCACCTGAAGGTGGAGCTGGGTTTTACTGTGGTCGCCAGTGTCCTGACATGAGAGCTTTCCATGCCACTCGGCCAAGGCAAAGGGGTGATCTCAGAAAACGTTCCCATCCTCCCATAGAATGGGAGGCAGGGAAGCATGTCCCTGTGTATGTATATAGCAGGGGCCACGCAGCAGTGGAGAGGCGTCCTGAGAAAGGTGCCATCAGGTGATTTTTGTTGAGATGTGAGGACAGGAATGTCCTCACACAGACCTCCCGGCACAGATCCGTCCCTTGACGGTTGCAGCATGGGGTGTGTGAAGCAGAGGTAGGCAAGGCCGCAGCCAGGTCACCTGCGTACTCTCCTTACAGCTGACTTCCTTAAACAAGGAGAATAAGGATAAAAGTAGAACATACTAAACACACAACCAGCCACACTCTGTGATCACGGGTCACCTATTGGGCATGATGGTATGTAGTACGTTTTCATACAGCTGAAAGGTCACCGTGGGGCATGGCTGTATGCAGTTACATGTGGAAATATTTTTGAAACAAAGACATTTTAAAACAGGAAATCTACATAATAACTATCAGTTCCCTAGGAGGCGCTTAGACTGGGCCAGGTGGAGCTGTGGCGATGTTCTGTCCCATTTTTCCTGCCTTTGTCCTCTTGTCTGTTTTGAAATGGGGACGTTTTACTTGTGTATGTTCTTTTATTTCATTTGACTTAAGCAGTTAGTATCTTACCTCATGTTTTCTGCCCTTGTCTTTTCAGCCCTGGAAAAAACTCGAACAGAATTATTTGACCTGAAAACCAAATACGATGAAGAAACTACTGCAAAGTAAGTCCCTGCGTCGTGCCCCGTCCCAAGAGGTTGGCTTTGCGGGTTGGGAGCGTGACCTGTGTCCCGGGCAGGGACACGGTGCCATCCCCACGTGACCCCAGGCTCATGTGCTCCCCGGCCGCCGCTACTGCAGCTGCTCCTCTTCCTTGTGGCGGAGGCTGCTCAGCGCTTCACCTTTTTCTAAGAAGGTTTGGGGAGGACTCAGCTTGGAAAGGTGGGCATTTCCTCAGGAGCTTGGCCGGGCAGAGGGAGTCCTCTGACCTGGGCCGAGCCCTCCCCCAAGCCCTGTAGGAGGAATCGCCACTCCCCATGCTCTTGTCACACCCGACAGAGCCCTGCAGGTGCACATATGTGGGGACACATTGGTGAGCAGTCACGCGAGGCTCACTGCCTACCTGGCTCTTGTGGGGGGACATCAGAGGGAACACCTGCACGTACCCTGTCCCAGACCCCCCCCCCCATGCTGGTCACTGGGATGCCGGAAATAAGATTGCTGTAAATCCTGGGATGACAGCAACAGAGATTCTCTTGGCCGTGGCCACCTCTGCTAAGTCCAGGTGCATTGCCAGTCTTCCCTGATCTGGAAGGCTCCTGCAGAACCCCTGTGCCCAGCGGCAGCCCCCTGCTGTGGTCCCACAGAGCTCCAGCAGCCTGGTGGGGGCTCTCCTCCTCGGGGTGGTTGCAGGTGCTCGGTGTCGTTCGGCCCAGCACACTTGCCCTGGGTCTTGGAGGGTGCTGCTGCGTCCACTGTCCTTGGGACACTGGGGGTGGGGTGGGCTCTTGACTCTTAGCTCTGGGTTGTTCAGAAAGCCCAGCTCTGCAGCCCTGGTGGGTTGAAACCGCCACTTGAAGTTCAAAGGTCAGTCTCTGTGCCCTGGCAGATGTCTTGGCTGATCTGAACCACAGGAGCCACCAGATCGTTTGCCCTTGTGGTGTGGGGACAGGGCTTCGTGTAAGTGGAATGAGCAGGGCCGAGGGGGCAGTGGTCGGCATTTCACAGCGCAGCCCCTCGGCCTTGGTGGTACTCCTGCTGTCCTGGGGGCAGCCACGGCCCGGGACATGGCTGCTGGGGCTGGAGGGACCCCTGTGCCACGAGCCCTCTCCTAGAACCCACAGCCTAGGAGTCCTCCCCCTCAGGAACCACAGCACTGCCCGCACAGGACACAGCCTGTCCTGTGCCTCAGGTCCCTGTCACCTTTCCACCAGCCTGTCACCCTTCTCTCCTGTTACTCCTGCTTGGACTTTAGGTTACTAAATAGGTCGTTTTCCTCAGTAAGTCTGATTTGTAGAACTTGTATCCTTTCCATCTGAGGCGTTCAGCATTTGTCTGGGATCTCGGTCGTCTCCAGGGTTTCTCTCTAAACGGTCTGAGGTGGATGGTGTGCGCGGGACGTCACGCTTCTCTCCCTCTTCTCCCGTCGCCTGCTGCCAATGTCTGTCCCTGCGTGGCTGTGGTCTGATGACACCACAGGTTCTCATTGCTCTTATCAGGCCATCTCGAGGCACTATGAGCAGCCAGAGTGTACTTCATTATGCACTTTTTAAAAAACGTGTCTTGGTGGTGGTGAGGATATAGGGAGCAGGGCATCTCTCATGTTGGCAGTGGAGCACTGCAGTGCCAAGGGTCCCCCAAAACAGGACAGAACTGCCATCTGATCCAGAGACCCCAACTCTGGGGACATGTCCATCGCAGCATCATGCACAAGGCCAAGAAATGGACGTCACTGTATCCACGAATGGGTGAAGCAAGCGGGGGACGCACACAGTGGATTACCCGCCAGCCCTGGGCGAGGGCAGTCCTATGGCCCAGGACAGCACAGTGGAGCCTGGAGGAGGTGCTGGGTGAAGCAGGCAGCACGGGGACAAGGCCACGCAACCTCCCTGACAGTGAGATCTGGGAGAGCTGAGCTTGGCGGAGCTGGACTGGCTGCTGGTGACAGGGAGTGAGAAGCGCTGGCCCCGGGTTCAAGGTTTCCGCCGAGTTGTGAAACATCGTGCAGCGGGGGTGGTCCTCCATCGAGGTGCTTACTGTGCCTTAAGATCACTTACAGAAAATTTCTATGTCTCCCCATAGAAAACGATAGTTAAAATCCCAGCAAAGTTCAGGGCCAGCCTCAACAACTCAGTGAGGCCCAAAGCGACTTGGTGAGACCCTGTTTCAGAAAATAAAAAGGGTTTGGGACATAGCTCAGTGTTAAAGCACCTCTGGGTTCAGTCCCCAGCACCAAAAAGAGAAAGTAAATAAATAAGTGAGGTTACAGAGAGGATATTTTGCTACATTAAATGATTCCTCATCTTTTACGAAACATGGTGTTATACCCCATAAATGTGTAGGCAGGTATGATTCGTTCATTCAAAATATATATGTTTAAAAAAAAAAAAAAACTTGTGTGCCACCCTCGCCAGGCCACTTGAGTGGTTTTTAAGCCGCATGCTGTGTTCTAATGTGAATCAGTTCAGTGGGGACCAGCAAGTCAGGTAATAGAACAGAATAGAAAACAAACCAACAGAATAGCGTGTCCCAGCACATGGTTCGTGTAAACTATCTTTTGGTGACACTTCAAAATTAGGTTTCTAGATCTAAAAAATATAAAACTAGTTCTTGGGTCACGATGGGAAAGGTGCTTCTGTCCACACATCAGGACCTCATTTAAAAGCTGCTGCTCCAAGGGTCACAAGAGCTCACTCTCCAGAAGCCTGTGTCTCCTATCCTGCTCTTGCTGTCACTGGCAAAGTTTGGTTAGCCGTGATGTCCACCCACTTGGGGAAAGAAACTGCCTGGTAGCATGAAGTGCTCAGGAGTGACCGCCACGCACACCACTTGCCACACAACAGCTGATTGCTCCGTTGTTTGGAGCCACAGTGTCTTGTTTTCTTCTTGGGCTAAAAGCCACATGGAAAATTTGCTTTTATTTAGCGGGTTTGTTTTAGGAGTCAAGGTCAAAAAAGCAACTGAGAATGGAGTTCCTGGAGGAGGAGCCAGAACAGAGAAGGGCTTCAGTTTCCTCCACTCAGGTTTTCGTCTCTGGAAGAAGGGAATGTGGCCACTGGGGGAGTGAGCAGGGGCGGAGCCAGAGAGCAAGGGCAGGCTGTCTCCTGTTCCCACCCTCTCGGGTCTTGCTACTGTCCAGGCTGACACGTTTGCTCAGCCAGAGCCACCAGCTAGCAAGGGAATAAAGAGCCAGCTCCCAGCTGAGAGGGCACAGGGAGAGGCCGGGAGGGTTGGCAGTTACTGTTCATAGAGGGACTGGCCCCAGGGCCACTCTGCAGCAACTGCCTCTGCCATGTTGACAGTAAGAGTGTTGAATGTTGGGAGTCACCTACCTGCTGGAGCAAGTCACCCAGGGACTCTCAGAGGCTGGTTCTCCCGCCCCTTGGACCACTGTAGAACCCTGGCATGAGCCAGGAAGCTGTGGGAGCTGGTGTGGACCTAGCAGCGAACAGTTCTAGCCCTTTCTATCACACTGGTGCATGGTGAGGCCCAAAGATTCTTCCCCCCAAAATCCAAATAAAAATTAGCATATTGCTTGCTGATTTTCACTAAACTATGGGAAATGAAGCCAAAAATCCCGAGGATCGGGGCTGGGAATGTGGCTCCGTGGCAGGTGCTTCCCTGGCCCTCGTCCCCAGCACCACACGCACAAGAGCGTGGAGGTTGGTGATTCTGTTCTGAGGATACCTCCAGGACATGGTGAGGTGGCTGTGGCCCTGCTGGAGCTCACGGTGAGAGACTCCGTCTCGCCCAGTGGGAGCGGGCCTGGCGTGAGTGAGCACAGCTGCAGCAAGCAACGTGGGCAGAGGTGGGTGAGGCTCCCAGGCGGTGGGTCCGTCCTGACTTCAGCAGACAGCTGCCTCCATTGCACTGCGCCCTCTGCCGGGGACAGATCCTGAGCTTTTGTGGTTCAGTGGGAAGACACCATTGCAATCCAGCGTGGCCACATCTGAGATTGAAGGGACAGGACTGGCTAGGTGTCTGGCAGGGTCCCTGCAGGATGGAGGCAGAGCACTCGTGTGGGGACAGGCAGAGGCAAGCCTGTTCCCCAGGTGGAGGAGTAAGGGTGGTGCAGAGCCTGGGGACAGTGCTGGCAGGCGGTGCCCAGGCCTGGCCTTGAGCAGATGAGAAGGCAGGGACCTAGAGAGGAGCGGTGCCTCTGACCAGTGGAGCACAGAAACTTCCTCCCCACCCCACCCTACCTGGCCTTCCCAGGCCACACCTAGAGAGGGGGCTGAGGGAGGAGGAGGTCTCTGACACCAGGGGCCCGAGGGAACTACTCCACACCCCTTCCCGGAGGGCTCGGGGCTGGACTTTGGTTTCGTCTTTCTGTCCGTCTTCGTCTGGGGTCCCATGTTGCCCAGGCTGGCCTGGGTTTCCTGGGCTCTCACATCCTCTTGCCTCAGCTTCCTGAGCAGCTGGGACTTGAGGCTGAAGATGAGGACCTCTGTGGGGGGCCAGGCCTATCTGAGTTTCCCAGGAACCAGCTGGTGGGTCTGCAGGGACATGGGGCTGGGCTTAGGCGTAGGCGCAGCTGGGCATTTCCCAGGTCAGATGCCAACAAAAGGCAGCACTGGGCCAGACGCCTACCGTGAATGGTTCCCAAAGTAGTTAGCCGCAGAAAGTTCAGAGGAGGGCCTGAGGTGGAGGGGCCAGCACTGCTCTCTTACCTTTGGAAGCAACTATCTCAGTATTCGGGGTCCCACACAAGGCACACCTCTGCCTTCCTGTCCCTGGTGTCCTGGGAAAGGTTCATGATGTCGCTCTGCTTGGGGTCCAACCTGCATGTGCTGTTAGCTCAGCGTGCTTTTATTCGTGTATATGAAACGGAAGCCCCTGCGGGACACATCTTTGTACACATGGTCTTAAAACAGTGCTCCTCTGGGCGGGGAGTGGGAGGTGAGGGAGGGACTCTGTTTTAGCAGATCGCAGGCAGGAATCAGGAGGCAGGATAAAGCCGGGCTCTGCAGACAGGCTGCCCTGCCTCCATGCCTGGCTTCTCCCA